ATATATATATATATATATATATATATATATATATATATATATATATGTACATGTGTATGTACGTATGTGTATATATATATGTATGTGTGTGTGTATGTATGCATGTGTGAGTGTGCGAAAGCGCGTGCGTGTGGCAATTTTTCATTAGAGGAAAAAATGCTGCAGTCTTTTCTGCAGCATCTGGTCGTAGCTCATGATTTCATGGCAGGTGACACTGTGAAAACGAGACCGCCTTACAGTTACATTAAAGCAATGTAAAAATCAGCCAATAAATAAAAACAACAATCTTTATAAGAATAAATGCACTTAAATGTTGCTTTTCAGTGTAAAAGCCAGTGGAGCTCCAGGGAACACTTGGATAGACTATGCAGGCAGTGGGGCAAAGAAACCAGTAGGTGGGGCCATTGTCCAGTTCATTTCATCCAGAGCATCCTGTTCCTGAACAACACTGTCACAGGTCCTGGATTGGTTCAGGATCAAGGAGGACAAGCTCACTGAGCTCACAAAGACTGTCTACACATTATGTTTGACTCAAATGTAACCATGAGAACGAACAACTTAAAATATTGTTGAATGGAGGAAAAAATAACTCCCAGCAGCTCCCAAAGTCAGGATTCAGTCATTTACTAAAAGAAAAAGGAGGAAAGTAGTGAGTATCATAAGATCATTTTTATTCTCTTTTTAACTGAAAGGTACAGAATTTTCATGTAAACTACAAAAAAAACAACAACATACATTTCATGAATCCCAGTTAGTTCAACTTTATATGAAAAATAGAAAAACAGTTTGGGTGTTGTGGCTCAATGTAGCTTGAATTAATTAATTAATAATGAAAACACTGAAGCTCTTTTTTTATTACAAGGAACTTTTCTCATGGCTGCCACTCGGGTAGTTTCAGGTCACTTTACGCAGTTATTTAAATCTTGTCCTAAGTGCAGGAGTTAATGTCACGTTGCTCCTGTGATGAACAAACGTTCACCTGGATGCTGTTTTTATTAATCCAGTGATTTAAATGCATCTTGTTTTTCTGAATGTGAAGCACCTTTAATCTCTTGGACTGCAGAGTATTTTTGTGCTCCGTGTTTTTGTCTTCAGAGACTCATCTATGCTACGTGAAGTTTTCCCGTCTCAGTCTCTGTTCCCTGTTTGCACCTGCCATGAACTCAGGATCTAATGACTTTGCATCGGTGGTGACGTTCTGCAGACGAGGAGAGACAGCTGCAGCAGCAGCAATGAAAGTCCCCCCACCCCCACCCATCTGTTCACACCTTCGCAGGTGCAGCCAATAAAATCAATTAAGTAATGAAGCCCCTGTTGGACCTGATGAGCTTGCACTGCCACTGAAAGGTCAGCAGGGACATGAAGGAGGGATTATCTGAGTCCAGGAAACTGGTGTAAAACTTTATGGATCAGTGCGGCTGGAATAATCTGGACCTAAATGTCAACAAGACCACAGAGAAGTTGGTGAGTCTCCCAGACCACAGGGGTTACAGAGTTAGGTCTCTAAACCTGGAATCATGTGTCTTTTTACACAACGGGCTAAACTGATGACCAACACTTTGCACAAGATGAAGAAAATCTTGTCACCTTATGACACGCGACACCCCGGACCTTCTACAAATCTCTGTTTCTTGTGTTGTGGTCTGCTGAAAGCTCGAGACTGGAGCTGCTTTGGGTCTAAACTGGAAGCTGTCTGTAGACAAGCTGCAGGTGAGACGCAGACTTCTTCAATCCCTTTCCACTTTTTACACGGATGCAACAAATCTGTTCCTAATGGGTTACTGGGAAAACTTGGCAGGTGAAGCCTCATTAATGTGGTGAAGTGCAGGATTGAAAACTTGTGCAGAAATCAAATCCACAAAATAACAGCAGTAGAAACAGGCCTGTTGCGATAAACAATAAATCAATTACTCGCACGATAAATTAAAATTATCGACCTCATTTTCATTTATCGGCTTCATCGTTTCTTCGTCTCTCTCTTTCTACTGAAGACACTGGACGACAAAAGGCTCAACTCTGGTGCTCTTCACTGACCCCTCCCTTTCGTCACTGACCCCTCCCTTTCTTCACTGACCCCTCCCTTTCTTCACTGACCCCTCCCTTTCTCTTTAAAATCTGTTTTAACGATCCAAAATCACGTTTTTGGATCTTTAAAAGCAGCTAAGCTGAGAAGCTAAGCTAACAGGCCGACCTCGGGAAAACACCTCCGTCTTGTCGAAGCTCCAGAATTCGCTGTTGAAACTCGTGCCTTTGTATAAAAAATTTGTTTTTCTCTGCAAAAAGAAGCTGAGAACTTGTTTTCTGTTGTTTGTTTTTTTTAAATTAAAAGCTTTGTGTGACAAATACTATGCTAAAGAGCTCAAACCACACCGAGCTTCCGCCATTTTGAGAACTGAAGAGAGACAGCCCATGTCACGTCAAGAGGCCTCCCTCCCATTTTTCTAAAAGAGACACGCTGCTCGCTCCCTCACTATCCATCCTTCGGTTCAGACTGTCTTATGCTGCCATCCAATGGTCAAAAAAGTTAATACACACAAAAATCAAACATTTCTTAAATTTGACAATAATTACTAATTATTGTCAAATTTCAAACAATATTATCGTTTATCGCAACAATCTCTGAGACAATTAATCGTCCAGCAAAATTTGTTATCGTGACAGGCTCAAGTAGAAATTTGTGATTCAAAATTTTGGGACATTTTGGTCAAAGCATCTCCAAAGTGCAGCAAAATAAAACAAGGGTTATAGTGTGTATGTGCAACTTCATTACAGCATAATAGTAGAACAATAACACAAATAAGTCAAACAAATCTAGATAAATAGCATTTTTGCAGAAAATACAGTGCAGTTCTGACTGCTGAGCACTGAATGACTGAAGTTTGCTTGAAACGCCGATTTGTCAAAGCCAAAAGAAGCTAAACAATAGCTAAAAGCTACAACTGGCAGAATGTTAACTAAAAGCTCAAAGTATCAAAAGGCTGATTTGCAGTTTAGCTTTAAGTCCATGCCAACAAAAATAACATTTAACACCCACAAATATGTTCTAGGCGTTACCTTTTGTTGCTGCTCAGTTTTTTGTCTTGCAGCTGTTTGTTCAGATATTAATTTATTATATTGGTTGTGGGTAGAAAGGTGAGTCTTTCGGCTCAGCGTCTCAAATGAATGAAATTTGTTTGGTTTAATTTTTGTGCAATAAAAGTAAAAGACTGTTGATTGTGTGCAGCCCCTCCTGAGTGAAGCTGCTTGTGGTTCAGTTATTCTGCTGCTGTGTTTAATAAGGTCGTTTTTTTATTTTCTACCGTAACTATTCATTAGCTACAGAATTGGTTTAAAATTCCTGGTTAATTTTCTTTAAAGAATTGGGACCATTACGTGTTAAAGTCAATAGCGTTCTAACGTTCTCGTAAAAGATGTGCCAACCAATAGTTGTATTTTGTTTTTCTGTGTTGAAACTGATCAACTAAATAGTTTACAACTCTGGATTAATTGGGTTGAGCTACATTTAATTGGATTAAATGAAAGCTGGTTAAAGGAGGAGGTCTTAAATGAGTTAATTTGGCTTTTTAAGTCTGAGGAAGTTGTAATTTTTAAAAGCAGACACACAATTGATTTGTGCTCTCTGTAATCGCCTTTAAGGTTGGCAGTTCATCCGTTTGCTACTGTTATTTGTATAATACGGGAATTACTCAGCCTGTCGATGGCTTTACTAAATACATCCTCCTCCAAGCTGTCACCTACAGAAGTTTATGAGGAGAAACACAATGGATGGTCTTTCCAACAGGCTTTACATTATGTTAAACCCATTAGGTCGTCTCCTGAGTGCACGACCAGTAATCCTACATGCATTACGCCGCCAGATCAATGCAATCAAATGAAGCTATAAAGTGGGTGGAGATGCAGCTGTAAAAGCCTTACGGAAAGGCCCACACATCCTCCTTAACGCCTCGTGTGATATTTGTCTCCAATAAACTGTGACTCGTAAAGACCGGTGGAACGGAGGGGCGAGGTGATTCGGCTCTGTATGATATTTACAGGTGGAAGAAGTGGAGGGGAAAGCAAAGAGACGTTATTTTCCTAAATGAAATGAATCCTGACATCTGGGAATCCAAGCCCCCCCTCATCTACGCCCCCCCTTTTGTAATTACACGACATAATGGTGGTGCAGTCGGCCCATAATCTCCCATTATAATCAGTCTCGGCTGCCTCCACTTGCTCCCCACCATGGCTTCTAATTCAATATAAATGTAAATGACTGTAGGGGGAGATGGGGGGGGGGGGGGGGGGGGGGTCAGGAACAGTATGGAGTGTCAATGTGAGAGTTTGAATTCTTCTTAAATCAGCGTCTGTGTTTGTGGAGGTATTTTAAATGAAGTGTACGAGTCGGATGAAGGCTGCGGAGCCAAACTGGTCAAATCTGAAGCAAACTGTCACCGAGAAGCTTCAGAAGCTTCAGTCGTGAAAACTGGACAAAAACTCTTTTTTTAAACTTGAACCACTTTACTGAACCACTTTGGCTGTGGTAGTTTGGGAGGAGTCGACGGGGGGAGGACACCCCTCCA